TCCAATTTGGTAAGCCTCTCTTCTTCATGTGGAGGGTCTGGGGCAGAGGTACTCCAGGACCTGTGGAATCCTGGAGCTGAAATGGAGTTGAGAGATGATCTACAGTCTCCTGGTTTCTAACAGAAGAAACTAAGCCTACAGTCACCAATCTGGTTAACTACAGAAGTAGGACATGCAAAGCCCAGGTTACCATTAGAGGCTTCTTTCCACTGGAACACTATATTAAATCTTGCCCCAGTTGGAAGATTTGGGCCACCGTGCTTGCCTTCTTTCTTGGGTTATTAAATGGACGGTTTTTTGGGTCTGCATCTTGGTGACCTAAATCCTTGAACTGGAAACACAGGCTTATGGATGGGAAGATAAATAATCCTCTTCCTCTTATGTCTCTTTTCAGAGATATTGGGCCTGAGGAAAACACCAAACTAGATGGTCATTAAGTCTCTTTAAGGTAGAAACAAGGTCTCTTAGTTTGAGGACTACTGCAGCATATGTATTGCATCAGAGCCTACAATGTGGATCCTACCCCCAGGTGGACCAGGTCATTCATATCAGCACTACCCTTTCTTAGATGCTTTTGTCTCATAAACTTTGAACTTATCTCTCTGTTTCCAGAACAGAGTCCATAACTCTTCTAAGAAGAGGAAGCAAATCAAAGCCTGGAATTCAAAGCTTTCTCCAGCAGAGTCAACAGACCAATAAAGAAAGGGAGTCCCTCTGCCTGTGGCATTGTCCACACTCACAGGGTCCCACTTTTATTTGTTCCTACAGAGTAAAATGAAGCTAGAAATATCTATCTTTCTTTTTCTTTGGCGTGTGTGTGTGCGTGTGTGTGTGTGTGTGTGTGTGTGTACAGAGAGAGAAAGAGAGATGGTCAGCTGTGGAAAAAAATAATTCCTTTGTGGATACTGGTGCGTGTGTGTTGTGAGGGGGCAGGGTGAAAGGTGGGATAAGTTTCTCCCATGCTGGGAAGTTCAAGCTGCAGATTTCAAACTAAGAGGACATAAAGAGACTTTCAGTTGCATTTTCACTGGAAAAAAGTCAGGACTTATTTCTGAGCCAAGTCCTGAAATATGCCTTACCCTTAACCTACTCAGAGGAAGGGGATTGCCCAGAAGCTACAATTCAGCTAGCTAACTAACTGCACTCAGTGGGCAACAAAGACATTATATTTTGTGTTTGAGACATCAACTTCCATTGACAAGGGCAAGGTATAATTCTGAAGCTGCCGAAATGAGGGCAGCTCGCACCACCCTGAAGCCCACCCCAGCAGCTCCAGTGAAACTTCTCCTGATTCCCAATGGTAAGGCTATTTTCTTCTTTTAAGATTTTATTTTTATCTCAGGAGCTACTCATCTGACTGTTCTCATGACCCAAGGTGCTGTCTGGACTCTCTGGCTTTAGGCTGTCAGGGAAAGCTGAAGTCCTCCTGCAAACCACAGAGCAAGATTCACTGACCTACTGGCAGGTCCATGAGGAGGTGAGGGATTACCAGCTGGGCATTTCATACACCCCAACCAAATGAAACACTATGTTTTCAAAGATTGTCTGATTTGGCCTTTTATCTGGTCTTGTTCTCAGAATCTGAGTTATCTTAAGTGGAACTATTCTAGGTAGTCAGACAACATTTTCATGCTTCCTTAAGGACATGAACATGTATCGTCACCCAGGCGAAGTGAGCAAGTGTCAGTAAGGGGAGACAGGCTTCAGTGGTCATCTGGTTAACCATGATGATGGAACACCTAAAGTTGACATGTGAGCATGTCGGGAACATACCAAGCCCACCATTGATGCTGGGGAGAGAGGCACAGTAGGAGCTCCTAGACATACAAGTGAGGGTTGATAAGAGTCACAACAGTAGACATTTTTGTTTATGTGAGAAGGGAATGAGGTAAAATAAGGTATGCAAAAATATTTTCCAGCCAGGTGTGATGGCTCACACCTGTAATCCCAGCACTTTGGGAGACAAGGTAGGTGGATCACCTGAGGTCAGGAGTTCGAGACCAGGCTGGCCAACATGGTGGAACCCCATATCTACTAAAATTATAAAATATTAGCTGGGCATGGTGGCCTGTAATCCCAGCTACTCAGGAGGCTGAGGCAGGAGAATCGCTTGAACCGGGGAGGTGGAGGTTGCAGTGAGCCGAGATCCTGCCACTGCACTCCAGCCTGGGTAACAAGAGCAAAACTCCGTCTAAAAAAAAAAAAAATTCCCGGAAGCTCTTGACCTTGGAGGGGGAATGGGGTACGTTCCATTAGACATTCCACTGTTCCCAGACAGGACTAGTCATATATATTTTTTAAAGGCACAGAAATAACATAGAAAATTTAAAAAGTGAGAACCTACAACTCTAGCAGACAAGGGGCAAGAAAATAACGGGATGCGGTTTGTGTGAGGAGGTACTGGGAGGGCTGTTTTGGTACACAGGAAACAGGCAGCCTGCTTCCCAAGTTTGCAGCTCCCATCTGGATGTCTGCCCTGGGGCTTCTCTGTTGCATTTCTTTCTTAGGGCTCTTAGGAAGTGAATCTCTTCCTTCCCAGACTTGCTTCCTAAGTTCCCTATACCTCTCACCCTATGCTGTGCACTTCTCACTCCATCCTAAGTTTCTTCTCTACAGGTTTCTCCCAATATGCTCATTACCTCCCAGATCTTCTTACTTAGGCCCACATTTTTCTCTCCAGACTCCTGTCTTCAGCATTCCTCGACCCAACACCCGGGTCCCTCCTTTTTTTGTTAGATACCCTCTCTGCTGCTCCTTTCTCCTCTCTGTCCTTCTGCTGTATACCCAAGCCACATCCCCACGGAGGAGCCCCGGGCCTGCCAGCTCCTGCCTGTCCTCAGACCCCCTGTCTTGATCCGTCTCCCGCCTTTTTAGGACCCCCAAGTCCTTGTTACCACTCTCTTAATACTGGTGCCTTGGGCCAAACTCCTCCGGCCATCTTCCATCCCTCGGACCCCTGCCCAACCCGCGCCCCTCGCCCAGCCTGGCCCCTTCCCTCGCCCACGTCTCCCCCTCCTTTAAAGGCCGAGCCCCTCAGGCCCCGCCCCCGGCCAGCGAGGCCCCGCCCCCGCTTTGCCCCCCAAGCCCCGCCCCTCACTCACCTGAGGCGTCTCCGCGTGCGCAGGCTGTGAAGGGTCGGGGAGAGGGGACGGTGTTGGGGGAAAGGGAGGCGGGGCGGCAGGGGTCCCCCACTCTGGCCCGGGCGGCCCAGTGCGGGGGGAGTGAGGTCACTGAGGCGGCGGCAATCGCCGGGCCGGAGCCAGGACCCGGGCGCTCAGAGGCGGTGGCGGCGGCGGCGGCTCCATGTCCATCAGCAGCTTCACCTGAGAAGGGACTTGCCCCCCCAAATATTCCCCCCCATTACAGCCGTCCCCATCCCCCTAACAACTTCCGGTCCTACTACCGGGCGACAGGCGGCGTGGCCGAACACCGAGCGTCCCTTAGCCGGGGAGACTGCTGGGGAAAAAGGGAGAGGAGCTAGGGGAGAGTAGCTGAGCGCCGAAAGATTTAAGTCCGAAAGTCACCGTCACCTGCCGAAGGTAGCCCAAAGACTAGCCTTTATTCTGCGCCCAGTTTGCAATCTAAGCACATACTGGACGCCCTATGTGGCCTGGCACATCTGCCCCTAGAGCCACGTTTTCCCGCTGTACCATGTAAACCCCCAAAATCTGAGACAGGTCTCAATTTCGGAAGTTTATTTTGCCAAAGTTAAGGACATGCTCGTGTAACACAGCCTCAGGAGGTCCTGACACGTGCCCTAGGTGATCCTAGCACAGCTTGGTTTTATACATTTTAGGGAGACAAGAGACATCAATCAATATATGTAAAGGCAGGACAACTCAAAGTTGGGAGGGGACTTCCAGGTCATAGGTAGAGAAGAGGCAAATGGTTGTATTCCTATCAAAGGAGACAATCAGTTACGCATTTATCTCAGTGAGTAGAGGGATAACTTTGAATGGGAGGCAAGTTTGCCCTAACCAGTTCCAGCTTGACTTTTCCCTTTAGCTCAGTGATTCTGGGGCCCCAAGATTTATTTTACTTTCACAACCTCTTAAGACAATGTTGATTGTAAACTCCTAGCATTCTTTACCTTTCCTGCCAAGTGTATTGGAATTGTTGGGAGAGGAGTTGGAGGGTACATGTTTTTGTCACCTTTGTGGTATCCTGAGGTCAATCACCTAGGTGCCACTGCAGATATTGCCAGACCTGAGAAGGAAGCCTACTTATTTTATTTGAGACAGAGTCTCGCTGTCGCCCAGGCTGGAGTGCAGTGGCGCGATCTTGGTTCACTGCAACCTCCACCTCCTGGGTGTAAGCAATTCTCCTGCCTCAGCCTCCCAAGTAGCCCACCACCACACCCAGCTAATTTTTTTTTTTTTTTTTTTTTGA